TGTGGCATGCTCCGTCGAGGACGACGACGTGCCGCCGTGCGTGGCCTCGGGCGCTTGCTGTCTGCACCCGCCGCCAACCGCAGTGGCTGTCTCGTCGCTGCCGTTTCTCGCACCGGTCGTCGTGGCGGCGCCGGCCCCGACGCCGCGCAAGTTTTCGTTTGATATGTTTTTGTCCTTCAAGCAGTCGACCAACGACGACTGCGCCGAGAACGCACAGTCGTTTACGATGGCGGAGACGTTCAACGTCCGGAGCCTCGACTACAAGAAGAGCAAGAAGAAGGAAGCGTCTGCGGGCGCCCTCTTTGACTTTGTTGGCGCCGACCTCGTGCGCAGCGACGCCAAGATCGACTGCATCACGCAGCACGTCAACCTCCCGCCGCACCTCGTGGGCGAAAATCTCTTTATACGCACAGGTAAGACCGACCTGGATCTTCCTCTTCTTATTGTGTGCGTAGTTGCCGCTGTACGGCCCGTCGATCTTTGGTGGCGGCAACTACGACGGGCCTGGCGTCAACCTCGCCTTGTACTGGACGATTCCCAAGGCCGTGCAAGCGCAGCTCGTGGCCCCCTCGACGCCAACCCTCCGACTTCTCAAGCGCTTCTTCAACTCGGCGAGAGACCCGTCGATCCTCGACCGGTTCAAGGTCATTGCGTAGGTCGTCAACGAGAAGGACTGCGGGCTCTCGGGCATGCCCCGCAAGCTGCTGCAGAAGAACAACGCGACGCCGGTGCTGACGCGGCCCCAGCACCGCATCTACCACCGCGACCACTTTACCGAAATCGACGTCGACGTGCACATGTCTTCGCTCGTCGCCCGCACCGGCATCAACTCGCTCGTCGACAAGACGGCCAAGATGGTCATCGACATGTGCTTCGAGCTGCAGGGCGAGACGGACGACGAGCTGCCCGAGCACATCCTCGGTTGCGCCCGCATGGTCCGTGTTGACCTCGCGAGTGCCAAGCACCTCAACCAGGTGATCCACGTCACTCCTTCCAAAACGTCCACAAAAAGTCTGCGCGTTGTATGTACTCGACATCGATTCGTAGATAGGTCGTGGATCGTTGGCTGCGTGGACGAGCTCGAGCTGCGTTGGCGGAGGAGGCCGGCTTCGTCGGGCTTGCCGTGCGCCGGCGCGTGCACAAAGCACGCTGAAAACTGCTTGACGACGCGGTCGATGACCAAGTCTTTGAGGCTCAAGCCGCCGTCTTCCAGCATCAAGTCACAGAGACGTTCGGTCACGTTGCCAAGCGTCGTCATCTAGCACCATTTCCATCTCAATCTGAACGTCAAACATAAAATCGTACCTTGTCAAACACGCGGGAGATTTCGTCGTCGACCTTGGTGAGGCCCATGGCCGGCCCCGGGAGGTTGGCACTCATGCGCGGCGAGTCGTGCACAACGCAGAGTTCGTGGAGGGACGACACGTCGCATTTCTTCTGATGGCTCATGGCGTGGATGGACTCGAGGACCTTCTCTTGGAGGAGGTCCATCTGCTTGGTCTGCTGGACGCACTTGTTGCTCGTCACATCCTACGTCGTGATAAGAACTCGTATCTCGTGAGGGACATACGGCGAACATGGCCGCGCGGCGCTGGATGCCCTCGAGGTCGTTGGCCAGTTTCTGCGTCTCTGCCTTGGCCGCCAGTCGCTTCTTCTTGAGCGACTCCATCGTCTCGTCTTCGGCCTCTTTCTTCTTGACGCTGAGGCTCTTGACCTCGGCCTCAAGCTTCTTGATGACGTCGCTGAGGCGGTCGTTCTCCTCTTTGGCCTTGGTGATGACGCGCTCGTGCTCGGCAAACTTGTCCATCGTCTTGGCCTTGATCTCGGCCATGCGCTTCTCAAAGAGTCCGTCCTTCTCGGCGATCGCCTTTCTCGCGCCCTCGAGGTCGGCGGTCACTTGGCCGATCGCGTCAAGCGCCTTTTGCTTCTCGGTCGTCAGCGCCTGGACGTACTGCTTGACCTTGACCTTCTTCTCTTCCTCGTCCTTGAGGAACCGGTCGTGGCGCGCCATGAGCTCGCTCTTCTCTTGGGCCAGTTGCGCAATCTGGGCCTTCCCGGCAGCGATGTCGGCTTGGAGCGAGGCCAAATCACTCGACTGCGACTTGTGCTGCGACTTTTCATGCGACAGCTCCATGCGGAGCTCGTTGAGCTCGACCTGCAGCGCGTCCTTCTGCGACGTCTCGCGCGAGAGCATCTCCTTGTGCGACTGGAGCTCGTCTGTGGCCGACCGAAGCTGGTCTTGGAGGGACGCGAGCTGCGACTGCAAGCCCGACGCAGCCCAGCTCGTCTCGGACTGCAGCGACGAGAGCTGTGTCTGCGCCGACGAGGCTGCTGCCTTGGCCGTCTCGAGCGATGCAGTCGTTTCACGCAGCACGGTCTCGATGGCTGCCTTGTCCTTCTCAATGGTCGCCTTCTCGGCCTCGAGCCGCTGCACGCGACCTTCGTGGCTCTGCTGCGCCGTCGTCGCATCGCGTACCGACGCCTGCAGCGCCTGCGCCAAAGCCACGGGGTCCGACGTCGTCGCCATCGGAACAAGCTGCTCGAGAAGCCCGGCGACCGTCTGTAGCGTCTCCTGCAGCGCGGTTGCGCGGCTGGCACTCGCGCTCTCGGACGCCGATGCGTTGGCTTCGAGGCTCTGCGTGCGCGCCGACGCCGTTGCGAGCTGCGCTGTGAGCTCGTCGACTTGCGCGCGGCTTGTCGCTTGCAGTTGTGCGAGTTCGCGCAAATGGGCCTCGGAGAGGCTGCGGATCTGTGCATCGAGCTGCGCCTGTGCGTTGCGCGCGTCTTGCTCGAGCTGTGCTTTCTCGAAGGCCCACTGCGACGACGCTGTCGAGACGTCCGAGCTCGCGTCCGACAGGGCCTTGACCTGCTCCTGGAGCATCTGCACCGTACGCGCATGGTCGTCTTGGGCCGCTTGAAGGCGGCGCTCGTCGTCCGCGCGGCTTTGTGCGAGCTGTGCTCGCATCGTCGCCATGGCTTCATCGAGTCGCTGCTGCATCTCACGCTCCTTGGTCGCGACGGCCGCGGCGACCTCGGCATCGCTGGCACCATGGTCATGACTCAATCTCGCCGGCTGGGCCTTGAGCGTCGCGAGCTCAGCTTCCTTGGCCTGCACTTGCGACTCGAGAGCGTGCACGCGGTCCTTCTCGGCCACGATCTGGGCGCGGACGTTGTCGGCGAAGGCCTTGGCCTTGACCTTGATGTCGGCGAGCTCGGCCTTGGCGGCCGCGAGCGAGGCTTCGAGCTGCTTCTTCTCGGCGGTCATGGCCTCGGCGAAGGCCTTGGTCTTGGTCTTGAGCTCGTTGAGGCTGGCCTCCTTGGCGGCAGCGTCGGCCGTCAGCCGCGCGACCTCTGCGTCCATGGCACTTTGCAAATGCCAATCGCACGCCGGTGGAACCTATTTTTACGCCAGGATTTCAGCCAATCAGAGCGCGCCAACCTATTTTTTGATCGCGATCTTTTCTCCGTCAAACCGCCAGCGACATCTACGACCGATCATCCACTGGATTGTCCAAGACACTGGATGCTGCAACCGACAGATTCTGCTTGACGACGGCGACAAGAAGAGTGCATTTTCTGTCAGTACCAGAGCAATCAAGCTCAGACCCGCGAACGAGACCCATGTACCAACTCCGATGCTGGAGCTTAAGCCCTTGCACTACATACACGGCGTGTGACACAGAGTGTGGTCTAGCACTCTGGCAAGTATGGGCGATTTTATTTTCAAACTTCATTTCGGTCCATCCGCCGGCGAGCGTACGCCCAAATATGGTTATTTATGGTTGTAAATGGCGAACGCCAATAGTAATGACCGGCGCTATCTCCAAGACTCGAGTCGTCGAGTGCTGTAATCAAATCTTTGTTGTCTCCGACACCGTCGCATTGTCTTCCACGCACGCCATGTGGGAAGAAGCGCGTCGAGGATCTGAGAACATGAACGAGCTCCCCAACGCATACGAAGCACTTGCTTTGCCGCTATCACAACCAACAACACATTGGAAGTCGTCGTCGCCTCATTGTTTGGAGATAGTCGTCAAACACTGTCGGTAAAAGATAAGAGACAAGCATGATTGGGGGACAAATGTTAGCTTATATTACAAAAAGGAAAATTGGGTCCTACGTCAAGCGGTTGGTGGCCGTCGCTGCCATCTCGCGCTCATAAGCAGCGATGTTTTCGGCAGAGCCGCGGAGGACCTTGTCGCCGTCTTGGTTAACGACCGTCTTGCTGCCACCGTACGTCCGCTGCGGATCGCCGAGCTGGACGATCTCATCGATCCGCAAGCCCTTGCGGGCATCTTGGGCAGATGGTGCCGGCAAAATGCGGCTGACCACCTTGTCCGTCAGTAGCTTGGCCGACCGCACCATGCGGGGTGCCTGTGGCGCTAGCATCGACAAGGACGCAAGCGCAGCACCGACCACCGCCGCCGGAAACAAGCAGGCCATGACACCCTTGATGGCGCCCTTGAGCGCCTCGCGGTACCAAACCCCGCGCGGAACGTGGATGGGGTAAGGGTCCCCCACCACGACTTTGTTGACAAGTGTGTCGCGTATGTAGAGGTACACGTCACCGTCGTGGTCGTCCCGCATCTTTGGTAGATGTGGGATGGGTAGATCGACCATATCTTCAGTCAGAAGGCACGGAGACAAAAAAAATCGGGCAGCTCGGCTTCGTGCTTCCGGACCTACGAAGCACGCTTATCAATTACATATGTAGTCATGGCAAACTTACAGATTCGATGGCCTTTGCCGTCGCGACGCGCTCCGCCGTGATGTGGCGGGCAATCGCTACCTGTCCACGGCGCAGCTCGTCGACTTTTGCGTGCATCTCGGTCAAGATGTTTTTGGCGACCACGGCCGTGGTCTCTGGCTTAGGCACTTTCGCCTCCCGCGGCCTACGCATACATAAGGGTTAGAACCTGGTTTCGAGAGAAAAGATTGCCGGTACATAGTGGGCTCGTCGGCGCAGCGCTTCTTGCCGGCCTTTCCGGGCTCATTGGCTCTACAGCGTCCGTGAGCATAAACCATTCGATGCACGATGAAAAGTACATACACCGCAGCGACCGTCGCGTCGTTCTTGAGGTTTCGGTTGCGGGCGCGGCGGACCCTACGTATCCATGAGATATGATGCCATGGACATACGGACGTACGCGCTCGGACACACGCCCTCGTCGTTGCTGTGGTCCTGGATGAGCCGCTGCCACGTCGATACATCGCAATAGCGCCCGAGGGCATCCCAGACGGGCCAGAGGCTTCCCGGCAGGTTTTCCAGATGTGTCGTCTTGGCCGCGTCGAAGACTTCGCGGAATGGCACTTTTCGCTTTGACGGGCCGCGCACGCCGTAATGTTCGTCAAGATGGGCGACCAGCCCATCGAAACTGGCCGCGCCACGCATCGTCGCTGCATGTGTTGACATGGGGCTTGGAGGGCAAATTCGAGAATGGCCAAGATCGAAGGCTGCCGCCGTGAGTGAATATACAAATATCAAGTGACCCGTTTGTTGGCGCGTGTTCGATATTTTGAAGATCTAAAAATAGAAAATGGATCGCGCAGGCGGCGTGGGCCGCAAGAACTCTCCTTGGAATGGACCATCGACAGCACAGAGCGCATGAGACGCTTGCTGAGCTATGAAGAGCGTAGTACCTGGCACGCGCAGCCGGCGACGCCATGACCGCGACAGAGTCGCGCGGCGCGGGAACGACGCCAAGCGAGGCCGACTCTGCGGCCAGTACATCCCGAGATGCGCCACGTCCGACTTGGCGACGTCGTGTACGTGTAGAGCCCCGCGACGAGGCTGCAGACGTCGATGTCACCGCCATCCATGTACGCCTGCAAGTCGTGGTACGCAACCTTGTCCTTGGCCCCGAGCCGGCTCCAATGGCGCGTCTCCTTGAAGAGCCCGAAGGGGTCGTTGGCCTGCAGGGCGAGTAGGTTGTGCCACTCGCGGAAGCGTGCGAGGACCGCGTCGGCGCTGGCTGTGCGTTGTGACAGCGATGTCTCGACGATTGCTGGACGCGGCGTCGGGCGCTTCTCAAGAACGAGCTGGAGCGCAAGGAGCCACGCGTCGCGGTCGGCCGCGGACTTGGTCGTAGCCGTCACGAGCTGCCCGGATGGCGTCGAGAGGAAGAAGCGCTCGCTGAGAAAGTTCTTGTCGTCGGCGAACGCGAGCTGGCAGTCGAGGACGCGGACGGCCTGCCCGCGTGAGCGCGCCCGACCGGCGCAGCCAGCAGCACACGCTGCCATGCAACGGCGCGGTCTCATCGTCGAACGAGAGCACAAGGTATCCCGTGTACGCGTACGCAGCGTCGGCCATCTCGATGCTTCCGGGGACGGTCTCGACCGACGACGAGGCTGCCATCTCTGCCAAC